TGAACCACCATTTTCCAACCGTCAACTTGGGTCATTGGGTCGATGGGTGATCGGAAGGTGTTGAGATGCTCGGTGAGTGAGAGGTAGTAGGAGGGAGTGGGTTTGGTGGCCATTGAACCCATTCGCACCCACCGAAGCAGCCTTCGGGTGATTATGCCATTTCCATGAAGCAGTCTTGGAAGGGGGGGTGTGAGGGTAGACGGGCAGTGGAACCACCTCCACAGGGTGGGGAGAGGTTTCCTAGACGTCCCTAAAGGAGGCAGAGATGACCCAAGCCAATGGGTAAGGCCGACAATGGGAAAGGGTGCTTTTGTAGAGTCACCGTTTCCAACCGTCAACCCGAGCCGTCAGGCCGATGTGCGATTGGAAGGTGTCAGGATGCTCGGTGGGTGAGTGGTAGTAGGAGGGAGTGGTTTTGGTGGCGGAACCACCTCCATGGGGTGGGGATAGGTCTCCTAGACGTTCGCAGAGGAGTCGGAGATGCCCCGGACCAATGGGGAAGGCCGATGGTGGGAAACGGTGCTTTTGCAGAACCACCGTTTCCAAGCATTGACCCAGGCCATCGGGCCGATGGGTGGCTGGAAGGTGTTGGGATGCTCGATGAGTGAGTGGTAGTCGAAGGGAGTGGGTTTGGTGGCCATTGAACCCCTCTACACCCGTCAAAGCGGCCTTCGGGTGATTCTGCCATTTCCGGTAAGCAATCTCTGATGGGGGTGCGGGGTTAGACAGGTGGCGGAACCACCTCCACAAAGGTGAGGAGAGGTCTCCTAGACGCCCCCAATGGAGGTGGAGATTTCCCAGTCCAACAGGGAAGGCCGACGGTGGAAAACGGCACTTTTGCAGAGCCACCATTTCCAACCGGAACGTAATATCAATAACTGGGCGGAGGTAGAGGCGGAGGTGAGCTGCAGATTAATGTCGTCAGAGATGGGCAAAAGTGGGCGGCGGATTGGCATTGCCAAAGGTGTTCATCTTCTTCTTTTTCTCTCTCTCTCCCTTCCACACAACACTAAAGGCGGAAGTGGTTTGGAGGAGGAAGAAAATGAACATTATTTTTGCCTTTTCTTGATATATATTATAAAAAGTTATCTTATTTTAAAAATTATATTAAAAAATTTAATTTTATTGATATTAGGGCTCAAAAGTTGCCCTTATCAACTATAATCCCATTATTATAATGTTTTAATGCAACTGTTACTAACTGATTAAAACACTTTCTAGATCAAGCTTGCTTTCCACAACTCAAAATACAAAAGGGAAAGCTTATTTAAACCATGGTTTTTGAAACTACAATTAATCCAAATGGTTGGACCGTTTGGCCCAGAGACCTTCCAGGCAATCGGTTCCATTTCACCTCTGATTTTTTTGCCAAAAATAGTTGATTTTGGTCAACGACTCATTAACCCAAACGGTTTAACCATTGATTCATTCGATCCAAACAATAGTTTTGCTTGTTTTTTATTTAATTATTTTTATTTATTTTTAAATATCAAAAGACCATCTATTCTAAGCAAACAGTCGAACCACCGACCCAAAAACTAAGCCAAAGCGGTTATAGTTACAAGTCAGTTTTTAAAACATTTATCCAAACTAAACATTTTGGATCATCATGGTTATGTTAATTTGGTTTGATAGAAAATAAGAGAAAAGTAGATAGTTGACTCTATCTAAACTCGTATTTTCTATGAAACCAAACCAAAGGACTTGTTCTTTTCGTTGATGAACACATTCTTAGTTTGCTTAGGACTTAGGCCTTGTTTGTTTTTTGGTAAATTATTTATCCGGGTAAATGTAGTTACCTGAGTAAGTTTTTTCTCAGAAACACTTACCCGGTTAAGTGCATTATCCATGTTCTTTTATTTCTCATGTAAATAAGGAAATGACCATTTTATCCATAAAAACCCATTATTAATAGGGGCATTTTTGTTCCATTGAAGTGTTGGCAACTTTTCCCTAGGTGGGAAAGTTATTTACCCACCTAGGAGATGGGTATCACCTATCCAGGTAAGTGGTATATAGGAAAATAAACTTTACCTAGTCCCCACATAAATTTGAAAAAAGAACAAAGGATTCTTGATGAATGGGAACCAAAATCCCATTAACCAACTTTCCCCCTCCCAAAATCCAAAAAATAAACGCCCCCTTAAAACCACTGTTAAATCTCAGCCAGAGGCCATTCCACTTTACCCCCAAAATTGATCATCAATCAAGTATTCAGCCATCTGGATAAATGAGCTATATTGATCCCAAAAATTGTTATTGAGAATCTGAGATCATTTGTAAGCTCTGGCTCTGCGAAAACAAAGCGTTAAACTTGACTTTCGACACAACTTGGTTCTTAAAAACTGTTCGGATTTTAAACCAAACTATGATCCATTTCATCAAAGTTTAAAAAAAAAAACTGTTGCAGTTTAGAATCAATTACACCCTATCCCGGACCAGGCCCGACCCATTAACAGTTTTATGAATTTTTTATACATGTTTATTGATGCTGTCCAATTCGAGGTATTCCGAACTGATGCTGTAGTTAAATAGTCATGCCAACTGGACGAGGACGAGGTGTAAGGATGAAGCTGCACACTGAGGTCTGCAATTATAGAAAGAGTCAGAGGCCCGATAAGTTATTCTCCGAGTAGGCACTTTGATGTTCAAATTAGCGAGTGGTAAAAAAGTCGGTCAAGATGAGCCGAAGTATGTGGGTTGGTCGAGACCGAGATGAATGCAAGAAGGGTGCTTGATTAAATCCTGAGTCTAAAAGTCTCTTACCTTGAGTGTGGCGTGCCTATTTATAGCTGAATGTCTGTTTTCTTATTGGATTGGGCATCCAATCAAGGTCTTCGAGGGGGTTTCCCCTTCTCTGGCAGAATCTGCTTTCTTGTTCATGTGGGGTACTCCCTCGTGCTCTCGCATTGCGCAGCTGATGCTGACATTTGCCAGTTTGGCAATCACCCCAACACCATCTGATCTTTGGTCATATGGATACATTCTTCTATTTTGGATGTGGCTTTAAATAGATGTTTGATGATTTTATATATACTCGATGCATGGAGTTTGACACTTCAACTTGGAAATTCGAAGGTAAAGCGCCACCGGAACCAACTTCTTATTGATGCTTTTTGATTGTAAACAACTAAAGTAAACTTCATTTATTGACAATTTTATTTTCATTGTGGTGTATTTTGGTCTTTTGTTATTTCAAAAATAAATGATGCATGGTTTCAAGTAGGGATGAGCATGGATTGGTTTGGTTCGGTTTTTAAGGTAGAACTGTAATTTATTCTTTCAAGATGGAGCCAAAACCTATCCTATCAAAATCGATTCCAAGGTCGTTGGTCTTGTCAGTTTCAAGGCCAATTTCAAGTTCTATCCAACCTACTCTTTTTTTACTCTTCCCCCAACAAAAAAATGGAAATGTTCTTTAAAAACATTATTTTCAACAATAATAATAATAATAATATATTTTAAAATTTATATTACCTTTATTTATTAAATTGAGTGATTTAATTTGTAGATTATTATAATTATAATTTAAATTTTGTAAATATTATCTAAATGGTCAATGAGATCATTGTCTTTGTAACCATGAGTATTTGGGCTCAAATCTTCACATTTTCAAAGTACTTTAGAATTTATTTCAAAGCAAATTCGGTTCCAAGGCAAGTTTTTTGGGTTGGTTCAAGTAGGGTAAACCCCTAGTTACTAGACCCTAGAACTAAATTGGGTGGAGGTCGGTTCTAAGAATTTGCCCTATTTAACAACAAATTGAGTAGGATCAGTTCAAGGCCGATTCAAAATTGGTTCCATTCAGTTTTGGGTAGAATCTACTAATTTGGTCACCCCTAGTTTCAAAGATTCTTCAAGGAATTAGGGAGAAATCCCTTACCAATAAAAATTAGGGAAAAAGCCTATTCTTTTATTTATTTATTATTTTTAATAGGTGTTTTACATGGGTGGGCCTCAGGCCTAGATTGATCCAGCCTACAACTTTACATGGGCTAAGTTTGGATTTCCTGTCCTCAAATTGGACCTGGGTCCAAGTTTGGAAACTTGGACCCAATCCTGACCCTTAGGGAGCCCAAACCAATCTAAGCCCGGTCTTATCTTATCTCAACCAAATTACATACAGAAATATATGATATATAGACACTTGCTTACATGCCTGTAAATACATATATCATACATACATACATAAATATATTAATAAAATAAATCATAAACATGTATATTTGCATTAGTATTCTTGGGAAATCTACGGCAGCGATCGGGTCTGTGGGGCCGGTCCGACCGCTGCAACTCGATGTCGTGAGGTGTAGTAATAAATAGTCGTGCTAAGTGTAGTCTCATCAGAATCATCAAATCAATCACAAACCAATAAAATTAGGGCTGTTCATAAGAAGGCCCAACCCAACCAAATCGACCAACCTAGACCGACCCAATCCGAGTCGGTCGGGTTTTCATCAACACGGGTCGGTTTCGGGTTGTGCAATTTATTAAACCGATAATTTGGGTCGGTTTTGATTTTCACACAAGAAAACCGAAACCAACCCGAACTAAATTGACTTAGTTCCTAGTTCAAACATGAAGTTGAACTAGTTGCAAATCCCATTAGGAACCGACTTAGTTCCTAGTTGCAAATCCCATTAGGCCACCTAGTTTTTGAATGGTTGCAAGAAACTTTGGATTAATGAATAGTGATTAATAAACAACTTTTGTGATTAACTTTTCATTTAAATTTTATCATAGGAGATGGCTGAAATGATGTTCAATTTATGACTGTTTTTAAAATTAATAAGATTTTATCGCAGGGATGAACTTAGAACCCAAACCGACCCAACCCAACTCAAACCGACCAGATCGATTTTGCTTAACATTGGGTCGGTTTCGGTTTTTATATCAAATAACCCGATCAGGTTGGATCGGTTAGAAACACCGCACCCAACCGACCCGACCCGTGAACAGCCCTAGATAAAACTTCCCTCCGGGCTTCGTGAACCCTTTCTGGCTTTCCTAAGCAAGAGCAATGGCCGCCGCTGCTGCTCCTCCACCTCCACCCTCCGCAGCCCCTGACCCAACTTTCTCCGCCACATTGCCGGAAAATCCCGTTGGAAACCCAATTTTCGTCAGAATCCGACTAGCCTGCAATAACGACGTCCCACACATACACAAGCTCATCCACCAAATGGCAGTGTTCGAGCGCCTCACCCACCTTTTCTCCGCCACGGAAGCCTCCCTCTCCGCTACCCTCTTCAATTCCCTCCCCTTCCAATCCTTCACCGTCCTGATCCTCGAAGTCTCCCAAGTCCCTTTCTTGCAGGACCAACACCAGAACAACCCTCTCTATCCTCCGGTCGTCCGCATCATCAACCTCGACGCTCCGATCAACGACCCAGAAGCCGAAACCTTCCGATCGGGGGCAGATGTCGTGGTTGCTGGGTTCGTTTTGTTTTTCCCCAACTACTCGACCTTCTTGGCGAAGCCGGGGTTCTACATAGAGGACATATTTGTGAGAGAGTGTTACAGGAGAAAAGGCATGGGAAGGATGTTGCTGTCTGCAGTGGCGTCGCAGGCTGTGAAGATGGGGTACGGGAGGGTTGAGTGGTGCGTGTTGGACTGGAATATGAACGCCATCAAGTTCTATGAGGAGATGGGTGCAGAAGTGTTGCAGGAATGGAGGATTTGCAGGTTGGCTGGTGAGGCTCTGCAGGCTTATCGAGATTAGGGTACCTTTATTATTAGATTTTCATTTCCATCCACACATCTTCATGACTTCATACCATTTTGAGACCAGAATGGTTTGAAAAAAAAAACAAATTATTGGGTTTTCATTTGCGAAATTAGGGCTAGGGTTCTAGTGTTGTTTTTGGTTGGTAGTATAATTGATCTGGGGTCTGTTCTCCTTATCAGAAATGGAATGTACCCCAATCTCCCCTCTTTGATATGATCTCTTCTTTGGTTGAATGATATTGGAAATATTTCATTCTGCTAAAAAAAATCCCACTTGAGAATGATTAGAGTGAATGATGGAGATCTATAGCTTTTTCATGGTGTGTTGCAAGTATGAGAACAAAACAAATGCTGGTTTCAATATGAACATTATTCATATTGATTCATTGGGTACTTGATTTGTACTATCCTTTTACTAGGCAATGTGAAGGGTTAAATTCACTTTGATGAAGCCTTCACTGGTCATCAGCTTGTTCTAATCAACATAAACTCTCATCTGTGGCCACCACCCATTCAATACTTGCATCAGTTTCCATCTCTCCTGCAAGTCTTGATATGGGATAGCCTGAGTCTAACAACCTAGGCCAAATTCTCCCACACGTTGAAAGCTTGATGCAACCTGGTTTGGAAAATTGGAAGAAAGAAATTCATAGCATAGCAGAACAAACTGATAATGATAAGGAAGGTAAAGCAATCTTTGGTGTAGCTATCAGAAACAATCTGGGGACTATTTTGGCAGTTTCTTTTGGCCCATGCACATGTTCGAGTGCAATGCAAGCTGAAGCGTATCAGAGGATTGCAACTAGCAAAGCAGAATTTTAACTCTCCTTTTGTTTTAGAAAGTGACAATCAGACAATCATTTTGGCTCTAAAAAAATCAAAACTTGGCTTCAACAAAGGAGTCTTTTTTTTGTGTAAAGATCTTTTAACTCTTGCCCAGTATGTAAATGTGTCTTGCTCCTTTATCAAGAGGGAAGGAAACACTCTAGCTCATCTAGCTCAGAGAGGGTAGTTTGATTCTGGGGTTTTTGTTTCAGACTTTCAGTCATGCCATCTGGGTAGAACCTGGCTGTAATTATTCTGTGATCTTTGTTAATGAATTCCTGCTTACCAAAAAAAAAAAAAAGAATGAGATAACTCTAGTGTTTGATGGAGCCATTTGAACAAATAGTAGAAGCGGCCAAATGGCCTAGAGAATGAAGGGTAGGGTAGTTAGAGTCTTGGAGACGTGTTGTATTTGGCATAGGGCCCATAGGCACACATTCAAACATGGGCCAGAATTGCCATTACCGTGATCTAACGATATGCATAGCAATATCCTAAGAAGTCTAGTTTCATATAAGCTACAGATAACACAACAGAATCGGGATAAAAATATTTCAAATTTAACAAATTATCCCTCTCCATTCCGAGTTCACATAGTGAGCTCCATGTGCACGTCTCATCGTGCATTGGGAACATCTCCGTACTTGTCAATGCGAGATGTTCCCAATACAATGTGCTGTGGAGCATTTGTGGGGCGTAGATGTGAAGGGAAAATTGTTTCCAAGATAGTTATTTCTTTGATTTGGGGACACAGGACTCATTTATGCGTCTGTGCCATGTTTGGCTTGTAGGATTAGGGGTCTAGAATTGAAATTGAAATGGTTTATTTCAATTCTAAATGTTTGGTTGGGTGAAATCGGAATCTTATTTTCATTTTTGGTGGAATGTTATTCTCCCATTTAAGGGAATGGTCATTCCTCCCCCATTGAAAATGATAATCCACTCCATCCTATTCCAATTCCCATATGGTCCAAATAGTCAGACGGAATAGAGCATTTTGATTCTCATTCTGATTTCAACTGGTCAAATAGACTCTAAGAAAAGACAAGTGAAAGTGACCGTCAAAACCATCACCCTAACAAGATGAAATTTAGCCTTCTATCTACAAAATATATATATATATATATATATATATATATATATATATATATATATATTTTACTTCAAGAGACGCGCCAAAAACCACAATCCAATCTATCTATCTATCTATCTATATATGGAAAATCTATGATATAGAAAAAGTATCTTTTTCCATATCATATTGGATGATATGGACCAATCAACATTCCACTTGACTGTTTAGGTGAATACAGGTTATCCCATGTAACAAGATGTGAAGAAATTTTTTTATTTTTTTAATCCATATCATTTTTGAAACAACCAATAAAAGAGGTGTCTCAAACCCTATTTCCCACTCTTGCCTATCGGGTGTGAAATGTCTTTAATTTTTAACTTTATCTCCCTTTTTTTTTTTGCTTCCATAATAAAGAGACGAGGATACACACATCTCATCCACTTTCATGCCAGTGTCAACCCACCTTTTTATATGTTTATCATCTTCCCACCACATTTCATTAGTTGAGGCTTTGTTAACTCCCACTTCTTGAATTTCATTAGAAAGGAATGTGTGTGTAAAAGAGAGATTTAGAAAGGAACGTACGTTGGTAGGATACTTCTCTACTTTCCTTCTCACAATAATCCCTTCCTTCCATTCGTATCACAATCATTCTCACAACGATTGTCTCCTTCAATTTGTATCAAAATCTTCCCGGTAATGTTCTGTTTTTGCCACTGTTTAAGAGACAATAACTTTAGTAGTTTTGCTTTGTTGATGGCATCATTCACAATGTTCCTCGGCTTCAATTCGCACCAAAGTCTTGCCAGTAATATTACTCTGGTTTTGGCACCGTTCAAGCAATGGTTCTCCAGCTACATCCAGGAAAGCTCTTTCAAGGTTGGAGAGACCATTATCTCATCTAGATCCAGCGACCATTATCATCTCTTTTTGCTCTGTTTTCCATTCTCTGATATCTATAGTCTGCTTTTGTCATAATCCAAGCATCGACTTTTGTGATCGTTTGAAAGAGAGATTTCACTGTTGAGATCATTCGAAAGAGGTCTACTCTTTGGGAAGACGGTTCACTTTTCCAATCATTGAAAAGAGATCTTCGATCAATTTTATTTTTTCACTTGGGTCAGTTTCTGCATTCTTTGTTGAGGGTCTTATTTTCTTTGTTTAATTTTTGTTCTCTGTTGTACAAGAGTGTAGGAGGCTTCTTTTTTGTTGACTTTCATCATCCGGTTTGGGAACCACAAGACTTTCTTTGTCCGGTTGCAACCATTAGACGTAGGAAGCTAAGCATTCAAAGCAAGCCTTTGTTTCTAAATTTAAGTGTTTCTTTTTTTCTGTTTTTTTACTTGTTTTAGCAATAGCGAAATAAAAACATTCTTAACTTCATATTGGAGAAGAAAACAAGAGTTTGTCAAAATTCGGGTTTCATGGAGCCCGTTTTTAACAAAACCAGGTGAGGACAATGAACAAAGCTGGTTATTTTCTACCCAATTTCGATATAGACAAATAACAATTTTTCAGTTACCTGTACATCATATAGTAAGTTGATTTATGACAAACTGTATCTTATACAGGTGCCTGAAAGAATCGATTAATAACATTATTATTAAAATATTTAAGTTCCATTTAAAATCAAATTCATTAATGGAAGTATAAAACTTCATTTTCCATTAATTTAATTAGCTTTTAGTTAATTTACTTAATTAACTTATCTTACATAACTTAATTCACCTAAATAATAATTAATTGGTTATTAGGACATCATAACATCATATTGTTAATAATTAATAAATAACTAATAATTATTATTACAGGTTTAAGTTCCATTTTCATTAATAATAACTTCAAATTTAAAATAATATACTTGATAAACTTAATATAAATAATATACTTAATTGTTATACAATTTAAATACCTTTTAATATCCAGGTGCTATATATAATTGCACCTATTGTTGCATATTGTGACACTTATGTTGGTTGAATTTATAAAAAATTATTTATGAAGTAGTTAGTAATAAAAATGATAAGATTAAAATCCAACCAAATTTCATACCATGCATGAGCTTTATTAGTGCATACATGGCATAATGGGGATACCTGTTCGGGGATAACGGTGGGGATGCATAGTGAAGTTCCTACATCAACCTGATCCAAAATGTAAAATATTTGTATTTTTTTACAATACATGATATACTTGATTGAGGACAAGGACAAGAATGAGGAATGAAGTCCCTAACCCGACCTAACATTGGGAATAGGGATGGGGAGTATGGTTCCTGTGCAAACTCAATTTTGTTGCCAATTCTAAATTCTACCATGTCAAGATATTAAATAGATTAAAACATTAGATATGCAATAATAGGAAAAAAATATTAAAAATCAAAACAAATACATCTAATGAAAATTAATAAAAGATAAATTTCTTTTAAATTCAATTGAGAATAACACAAATTAACAACAATTTATCTAACATAATAAAAATTAGGGTAAATTATTGAAACCTCCCTTGAAGTTTAGTAATTGCAATCACCTCCCCTCTACTTTTTAATACAGTTGCAAGTAGACCCCCTTTGATAGAATTGTCTTAAAAAAGGCATGAAAATGTCTAAAACACCCATGCGTTACTTTGAGGCTGGTTTGTACAGGAAAAAATACAAACTTTATGAACAACAAAAACAAACAGAGTTTAAAGCTTTACCTTTGAGTGATTGATGTGAAGGGCAAATTTGGAAAATAAATCAATTTTAGAAAAGAGATTGGAAGGACTTGGGATATTGATTCATATGAAGAAAAATTTTGAAAAATAAACATTTTTGTTAAAAGTAACTACATGGGTATTTTGGACATTTTCATGCCTTAGAAGATTTTACCAACTACTATATCAGAAAGTTCAAGGGAAGTGATTGCAATTACCAAACTTTAGGGGAGGTTTCAGCACAGCCAGAAACTTTAAATGAGGTTTCAGCAATTTACCTAAAAATTAATACAATTTTATGTAACAATACATAACAAAAAAAAAAAAAAAAAGAAACTTGATTTAGATTTACTTTCACTTTGCCCAATTAAAAATATTATAAAGGTCCTTTAACATAGATTTTAGTTTAACAAAATCTGTGCATCACTCAGGGCCCACTAGTTAAATGCAATAAATGAAGAGGATTACGATCTTCATACATCCTAATTTTTTTTGGCTTTAATAACCCATCTGGTGGCACGTCAGGGACAATGGAAAGTTATGGAGGCGGCCTGGGATTAGGGTGGCAATGACACCCTAACCCAGGAGGCGCACAAACTTCTGGGCCTGGATAAAGGGTGGTTGTCCAAGCTGGGTACTGTCTGGCCCAAAATCAGCATCAGATAAGCCCATACGGGGGTTCCGTTTTTCCAAAACCTCATGGATGATGAGGTCACGATTCATGACTCACGAGACTTGACTTCTGGAATATGATTTTAAACCAATCTCTCAAAGGAGTTCACATCAGCACCCCACCACGATGCCCCCCACGATATCTCCCGATGACAAATACAAAAGATGATGGGATTGAGATATCTACGGGAGATGTTGGCAATACAAAGTCGAAATGTGCTGTGGGACATTGTGGGGAGCCCCCTTGTCAGGCGCAGATGTGGACTCATCTCAAAGACTCAAATAACCATCAACCAGCCTGACCTGCCTTTCGTAGTGGCTCATCTGTTGAAGACGTGAAGACTTCAGTCTCTCAAATTTCCAGCCCGCCGAGTGGGTCATAGGGTGTTGTGATACCGACATGTTTGAATTACCCACCAACGAACAGCAGAAATAGCAATTGAAAGAGTGTAAAGGATCGGTGTTGATGAATGGTGATTTGGCCCGACCTAGTAAAAAGGGGACACGTGGATACGACCTAATCAAGAGATGACAGCTCAGCCCGACATGTCTAGTTCGACAACAATTGAGCTCGGACTCCCAACCAATTCGGTATTAAGTCACCTCGGGACAAGGCCACCTCGGTCCCAAGGCATTTCGACATTTAGTCCAGTTCGGAACTAAAAAGTATCAGCTCGGGGATATCGATTCAGACCACTACGTGGCAACCCTGAAAATCTCTCCAACAAACCTCGAACCTCGCGGGATCACGCCGCATAACAGCAAGTCTTATCTCCTCCCCACCCGGTTCGGGAGGAATTTATAAGCCTTATCGGTTGGAAACATTATCCTCTAATTAAAACGGAAATGGATCCCATCATGACGAAGATCCTGGAACCGATCTGCAAAACCCGCGAGTACTCAGCTATATAAAGGCTCCAACCCCGAGGGCATAATGTACGCATGATTTCTCTGTTCTCTAGCTCTCTACATTCTCAAAGCAATTTTAGCTCGCGACAGCCTACTAACTTAAGCATCGGAGCGACCTCACCGGGCTAGCCACCCCGGGTTCTTTGATCTTATCTCGTAGATCTGCTTAGCTTGTCGTTCGACTGGAAGCCAGATCATCCTCCATTAGGAAGCAGTCAAATCGTGCTACATCAATTGGCGTCATCTGTGGGAAACGCTACAAAAAGCCTTCTCCACGCTCAATAGTTCATTTGAAAGCAATGGCATCCTCCAATCACGTCGAACAGAGCACTGAAATGAACGTCTCTGGGGGCAACCTCAACTCCCGACAGTTTGCATCGGTCAGTTCACCATACCACTCACTGTGGTTGGGGTTCCAACACTGACCATGCCGCAAGCTTCAAAGCAGGTAAGCGCACAACCCCCTCCTATAGTTGGTGCGACCTTTGCTGAACCATCTGTGGTTCCCCCGGAGTTGGGCAATCCCAGTTCGACGACCTGGTACATTGCGTGCGGGCCATTCAGGTCCAAATGCAATAGGTCCAACAATTTCAGCAATACCAGTAGCAAGTCTTCTACCAGTTCTATCAGCAGCAATTTCCTCCACTGTAGTAGAGTCAATAGCTGGTTCCACCTCGAATTCTCTGATCTTATTTCGCAAATCCACTTAGCTCGTCGTCTGACTGAAAACCAAATCATCCTCTAGCAGATAGCAGTTAGATCGCACTACATCAGGTGTGAAATGTGAACTTGCCTTGCTTTTGACCCTTGAGATATGGAAAATGAAAGTTGAGGACTAATGTGAACATTGGCCCTACATATTGTATTTTATATTAAGTAGTCAAGACTCAAAACTAATCCACATTCCACAGTTGAGACTTGAGAGAGAATAATAAGCCAAACTCCTCCAAAACTGGAAAGGACACAAAAAAGTAGGGTAGTGGGGCCATCTTGAGTCTTGACAACCATATTACATTACATACGTACGTACACTACTCCCCCTCTTGTCTATAGATAGAATGGACTAGAACTAGAAAGTGGACAAGGTATCACTATCACCTGCACAAAGATTCTTACGTGTTCAATATATACTAATATTGTTCCAAGCTTCCAATTTTGTAATAGACCATAGACTAGGTTGTGCCTCTCATGCATATGTCGGCATCATACTTGATGTTTTGGTTGTTCCCAACTTGAGGTGATCTGGCTTCCAATAGACAACAGACATAGTTAATTTGTAAAAAGCGAATCAGAGAACCTGAGGGTGTTTACCCGGTGAGATCGCTCCGATGTTTAAGTCAGTACTTGGTTGCAAGCTGATAAGAGCTTAGAATGCAAGAGAGTTAGTGAGCAGAGATTACACGTCCTTTTCACCCCTGGGGGTGGAGCCTTTATATAGTGGAGTCCTCACGGGTTTCGCGGAGTAGTCCCGGGATCCTCATTACGATGAGATCTATTTCCGAGTTGATCGGGAATAACGCTACTAAGAGATAAGATTTATCGCTTATGCCCGAATTGGATGGGGGAGATAGTGCTAGCTGTTACGAGGTGTGATCCCATAAGGCGTAGAATCTGGTGGCGAGATTTTCGGAGTTGCCATGCAGTGGTCGGTCAATATTATCCGAGCTAGTGCCCTTTGGATCCGACCGGTACGAATGCTGAAGTGCCTTGGGACCGAGGTGGTCCTGATGTGATCGGGCCCCGAGGTGAACTTGTCCCGAGACGGATTTGCCCCGAAGTAGATTGGTTATCCGAGCTCAATTCATTATAGACTTGGTGTATCGGACTGAGCTGTCATCCTACTGGTTAGGTCGTGTCCACGTGTCCCCCTATTACTAAGTTGGGCCAAATCACCCTACATCAATACTATACCATTTATTTGAAAATTTGGTTTCATACAAAGCGTGAGAGAAGCGTAAAGCTCGTGGATACTTTTTGTGAAATTAGTCAACAACTCTCAATTGATTTTTTTTTGTTTGTATCTTATTTTCTATCAAACTAAACACAGCCAAAGGTTTGGTACCGCCCGAAGAGATCATCTCCAAAACTAGATACCGGACTGTCTCCAATACCCAAGAAAGCGCCAAATATATATATCAGCTCCCAGTCCTTTCACAATTCCCCTGATTTGAGCTATGAAACATCATAGTTGATAGCTGATATATATTTGTACCGATACATTAAATACTGACAGTTAGTTAGAACTTTTTAATGGCTTCAGACATTAATACCCATCCTATTAGATCCATGAATGAATCATCGAAGATCGAACCGACAAAATTAAAAATAAACAAGAGTGTCAACCTGTTGAAAATTTAACTTCTAAGAAAGAACCTTCATTAGTCATTGCAATGGGACAAAAAAATAGATGATAGATGAAGAAAAAATCTCTGGGTTAATTCTGCGAAATTTTGGATTTTTTAAATTGAAACATGCTTAAATATTTTGAGTTTTTTAGTTGAAACAGGGTGCATGTGAGGGCCAATGGAAGCCTGCATATAACCATATACTTCAGATGTCATGCTATCGAGTCCGGATCTGGTCCGACACACGGTTCCAACAGCCATTGCAATCGTACATGTACATTGGGAACATTTCCATGCTACAATCTTTCTCTCAGGATTCCAAACCCAATCCTCGAACCATGGCAAAAGTGGTTTATATGCATCACTAATCTTTATTTAACGATGATCATCCAATCAACTAATTTATTTAATGATGAATTGTTTTTCTTGTTGTTATTTTCAAAAAAAAAAATCAAAATCATCTTATTTGAAAATAGATTGTTTCTCAAAACAAAAACCCAAAATTAAAACATGTTTTTGGTTCATTTTTACAAAACTAGAACCCAAAAAATGTTCTTGAATTTCTGGTTTCAAAATTTGTTTTTTTTTTAAATCATTGTTTTGGTGGTTTCAAAAACATGTATTATTTTTTCAAATAAAACCAACTTGTTTTTGCTTTTCAAAACAAACAAATAAAATAAAAAATCAAGAACATGTTTTTGTTTGACTTTTTGTTTTTTTGCCCATGTGATAATTTCAAAAACAAATGAAAACAAAAACATTCATATTGTAATAATGTAAAACTTCCCCTTCATTTCCTCATTTATTTCTTAGACCAAATAGGTTTTAAAGTTTGGCCTCGACCTCTAGATCAGACAATGATTATGGGTGTGTTGTTGAACAGAGGGGTAGTAATAATCTTGTTGGGTCCATTTCTCTTTCAATTAAAAAATGTTTGACAAGGGATGGAAGTATCTACAAAGGAGGTCTATGGTACAGTGGCATTGCATTGCCATTATGTTTCGGGTAAATTTGTGAGTACTTGAAATGTTTTAAACCAATTGATTGGTGGCTTGGTTGACATGTTAGCTGGATGGTCCTACCAGAGACGTGCATTTGAATCCTGCTATTACCACCTACGTTGAAAAGTTGGTGTACATGTGCACTCGGGATTTTCTACTCATTCTCTACCCGTCGTGAATTGTAGCCACATCTGGGCTCATGAGTGTGTTGTGTTAAGTACAAGACAAAAGAAGAAAACATAAATGTTTTAAAAACGTTTTGAACCGAACAGTACAAATTGTTATCTTTACCTAAAATGTCAAATTTTATGTTTCTCTCTTTTTCTTTTTACCTACATTTTTATAGTTGAAGTAGCATTTATATATGGTGTAATTGATCAAACTCAAAAACAACAATGCGCCATTGTACCAAACACCCCTCAAGTTTAAGAGAACCAAAGGAATGTAAATAGGGCTGTTAATGACTAGATCTGATAACATTCAATGAAATTTATGACACAGCTCAGAGTTCAAATCTTCATATATTTTTAACTGTTCACTGGTTCCTGTATACGAGTCGGTCCTCTTAGGCCCCATTCGCTTTTCGGTAAGTTATTTATCTGGGTAAATGTAGTTACTTGGATAAGTTTTTCCCAGTAAACACTTACCTGGGTAAGTGTATTTACCTATGTTCTTTTATTTCTAATGTAAATAAGGCAATGATCATTTCAGTCATAACAATCCATTATTAAAAAGGGCATTTTTGTCTCATTCAAGTGTTAGCAACTTTTCCCACAAGTGGAAAAGTTATTTATCCACCTAAGAGATGGGTATCACTTACCCAAAAAATAAATTTTCCATGATCCCCACATAAATTTGAAAAAAGAACATGAGATTCTTGGTCATAGAAACCAAAATAACTTTTTGGTCATAGAAACCAAAATTCGATATTTTCCACGTGGCAAGGAAACAAATAAAAGAGAGAAATTCTCTTTTCCATCCATTCTCCCCCGATGAGCCTAATTTTTCTACCATACGCCGCCCCAACCTGCGCATTCTAGCAAACCGAGTCACTACTTTTCCGCCATTTTTCCTGCTTCGCCGCGCCTCTCCGCTCAGAAAATCCATTTGTTATCTCGTCCCCTTAAATCTATCCAGCAAGAATTTACTGCTCTCTGTCTCTATTCTTGACCTCGAATCTATCCAGAAGGAATCTCTCTCTCTCTCTCTGTTCTGAGCGTGTCCGCATGTGCAGATCGAAAATGGACATCAATGCAGCAGAACCAAGCACAACAACGCCACGAACCCCTCGACGACACTCTCGAACTGCGAAATCTTCATTCACAAATTCCTCAAGCACCGATCCCACGAGCGTCAATCACACGGCCGGCTCCAGCAACAAATACACATCCACCACTTCCGCTTCCAGCAAAACCTCCCTTTCTAGCTTCCGAGATGCCTTGCCGGAGAACCCTCACTTGTACGATTTCACCGAAATTTGCTCCGCCACCAACAACTTCCTAGCCAAGCGCTTCTCCTCCTCCGCCGCCTGGCGATGCACCATCCGCGGTAAAGACGTCATCGTCTTCCAGCATAAGTTCCGTCGCCCGGTCGAACCATGGCAGCTCCGCCAGCGGCTCGCCACGATTTGCAGGGGACACCACGTCAGCATCATCAAGCTCCGTGGTGCTTCCATCTCCGGCGAGCACATCTACCTCGTCTACGACTTTGTGAATGGTGCGAACCTCGCCGAGTGCCTCCGAAACCCTAAAACCCCAAATTATACCGTCCTATCGACCTGGCTCTCGCGAATGCAAATCGCCACGGATGTAGCCCAGGGCCTCGACTACATTCACAATTATACCGGACTAAACACGAACTTTGTCCACAATCACATCAAGAGCAGCAGCGTCATCGTCACGGAGCCCTCATTCCACGCCAAAATCTGCCATTTCGGGACCGCTGAGCTCTGCGGGGAAGTCCCCGATGAGGAAGGCGGGCAAGAAGAGGAAGAAGAGGAGCAGAGCGGGGAGATTACAGAAGAGAAGCAGAGATCATCAAAAATCAAGAGAACAACAGACAACCGGGTGATAAAATTCGAAGGGGCGAGGGGGTACATGTCGCCGGAGTTCCAATCGACGGGGATCCCGACACAAAAATCGGACGTATTCGCATTCGGAGTCTTGCTGCTGGAGCTCCTATCAGGAGAAGAGCCCTTGAAGTTCAAATTCGACAAGGAGAAGGGCGACTACAGGAGAATCTCGGTGATCGAGACGGCGAGGGAAGCGGTGAAGGTGGAGACGGAATCTAGAAGCGGAGATGGAGATGGAGATGGAGGAAGAATACGGAGATGGATTGATAGAAGATTGAAGGACTCGTACCCGATGGACGTGGCAGAGAAGATGACACGTATGGCGGTGGAATGCGTACACGTGGAACCCGACAAACGGCCCGATTTGAGACGGGTGGCGGGCAAGATTTCGAGGCTATATTTGGAATCCCAGAAGTGGTCAGAAAAGCTGAGAGTTCCGACCGATTTCAGTGTCTCATGGGGTCCTCGATAGAAATGAGAAATCTGAAATCTTCTGCATTTCTTCTTTCTTTTTTTTTTCAAATTTTCTTTTTTTTCCGGCACGGTTCGGTGATCGGAGTGCGGAGGAGGATTGTCGAATACTGTATATTGATTCTGAGATTGAATTGAATTACATATTTTAATTTGTTATCATTTTGTTTTTTTTGGGTTCAATCCTCATTCTTCTGTTCTGTGCTTAATTGAAGAGAAGAAGCGTTGCCATCTGCTATCCTTTCCGTGTGGTGTTGGAGTTGCGCGTGGCGGATTATCAGCAGCGATCACGTCATCAAATCAAATCTGTGGATTAGGGAAATTTGTAATCTGGAAAAACAGCATCATTTTTGGGTGGTGTTTGGAACCGGTGCTGTTTGCGCCGTTTTCTCTGCATTGGAATGTCATTGTTGATAGCAACAATAGAAAAATGAAAAAACGTCAAAAAGGGCAATTTCTCATAGTTTCATACTACATTTTTTTTCGATTTTCAAGTCCTGATCTGAGAAAATAGTTTTTTAGAAAAAACATCGAACCAAACAGTAAGAATTTCTTAAGAAAGAAACAGATTTAATGATGGTTAGGGCTATTTACAAATAAATTCAAACCGACCAACCCGGCTTGACCCAACTTGATTTGACTAGCTTTTCTTATCACCGGTCGGTTTCGGGTTGGAAAGATGAACAAACCGATAATTTGGTTCAGTTTCGGTTTTCATGTATATTTCAGTTTTAAATATATATATATATATATATATATATATATATTAGTATATATATATATTCAGTTTTAAATATATTTCGAAAATGTATATATTTAAACCTAAACTGACCCAAATTGATCTAAATTGATCAAATCAATTTTGCCTAATAAAAGACCGATTTCAGTTTAATCTTAAAATAACCCGTTCAAGTCAGATTGATTAAAAAAAGTTAATAAACCGATCCAACCCGACTCGTAAATAGCCCTAATGATACTGATTCAAGAAAACATCGATTCCAAAACACTTACTTGAATTCCGTTGGAGTTGCATAAATGCAGATTCCAAAAACAGTAGCTAGCTAAAAAAAATAGGCCAATGGTTTTATTTTTTTCGTTGAAATGTCGATGGGTGGGAAGAGGAGAAATCTGCACGCTCAAGCATATGATGAATTGATGTTGAATTACCCAAAAAGAAAACAAGGAAAAAAAGGCTAGCTTAAAGTCATCAACCTACTAACCATCAGAAGGACGACAAGGTGTGGCAAGTGGGGTCCCAAATCCAATTTGTGAGGATTGATGACGGCATGAATATAACCGAACCAACTAAATCAAGGGTAAAATACAAAAACCTCCTTTCAAATTTTTGATAATCATAAAAATTTCTCCAATAGTTTTACTTTAACAAAATCTTCCCTTAAAATTTTTAAAAATTCAACAAAAATCTCTCTTCCCCTCACTGATCCAAACGGAAAATGTTAAATTCATGCATTAAATGTTTTTAGATACCCATTTTACCCTTTTTTTTTTTAAATTAGTTTATATATTTCTTGTATTTTGATACGACTTGTGCTAGCCTCACTCAGCTTTGCTTGCTCCCCCTCACCACCTTCGATTTCAGCCACTTTAGGCCCTTGATCTGGTCCAGGGACAGCTTGGCCAAGGAGATTGTAAGGACGCCATCCTCCAGCTTGGCCTTCACCGACTCTAAACAATTTCTGTTAGCTAGAACTTGTGAAATTGTGCAATTGTAAGAGTTTTCTGCCACGAATTATCGGAACTGCCTCCAAAACTTGCGAAGATGTTCAATTGTAAGAGTTTTCTGTCACGAACTGCCGGAACTACCTCCAGAACTTCCAATGAAAATGAATTCAGCGAACCTTGAAGAGAAAAAGAGAGGAGCCTCTAGCGACGATTAGCCGATGACTATTCTTTATGTTCTCTTTCATTCATGACCTTTACGTTATTATCGTTGAAAATTTGAGTGTCCTCCTTGGTAAAAGCATTAACTCGATGTTTGTCCACAGAAACCATAAATCAGGGCGGAACCCCAAATTTTCGAAAAATATTTCAAACGAATTCTAAGATCGATTTATCTTTTCTCCAACATGGGACACCCAATTCCTTTTTTCTCTTATGTTCAGTGTCTTCTTCTTTTACTCTTCTTTTGCATTTTCAACCCCAAGGAGTTATTTAAACAGATGTTCCTCTCTATCAGCCGAAGATTTTGCTTCAAATGTTCTATCTCCCCTAACAAATGGTTCATCTGTGGATTCTACCCGATGGGCACAAACCATACAACTTCTCAATCTGGTATACCAACTTAATGGACAAGACAGTTGTATGGATGGCCAACCGAGATAGACCCGTCGATGGTCATCGATCCAAAGTTTCACTGCATAGGGATGGGAAAATGGTGCTTACAGCTTAATTGTCTAGTTCATTAACACATCCGATGTCGATGCTTACCGATTCCCAGTACCCGTCCAACTATGATACTAGGAATTTCGTTCATCAATGGGAACTGTACTCTAATTTCTCGTTCAATACAGGATGAAGCATGGTGGAGAGGTATGGGAATAAAATAAAAGAAAAAAAAAATGCTAGAGAGGAGAAGATGAAAAAAAAAGAAATGTAATGGAAGAAAAAGGTAGGAGGGAGTCTAGAGACCTAGTCGATGGATGAAAAACAGAGGATTGATTGGTAGAAGCAAAGAGGCGGTCGCTTCATGTTACAAATGAAAGGAATTGAGGGAAGAAGAAGAAGAAGAGAGAGAGAGAGAGAGAGGGAGAGAGAAAGAATGATTGAGAAAAATGGGGACCATAGTTGCAGTAGTGGTATGGGGTGGTCACAGTAGCTCAGCCACTACTGTCGTTCGAATAGATGAAATCGGTAACCAAGGGGGTGTTTGCAGTGACAGAAGAAAGTCAAACGATGGGAGATGAGGAGGAAGGGAAAAGATTAATTAAGAGAGAGAGAGAGAAGTGAGGTATTTATCGAATTTTTTAAAAATGGAGGGGAGGTTTTTGCTATAATGAAACTATAGGAAAGGTTTTTATAATTGTTAGAAACTTGAGGGAGGTTTTTGTATTTTACCCCTAAATCAATTATATAGGTTCTGGTTATGTGGTTTCGTTTCAATAAATAATTGGGTTGTGACCGGTCCTTATTATTCCAAATTAATTATATAGTTAATATTTTATGTTTAAAAGGGTCGATTTTATAAAAATATATAAAAGACTTTTAAAAAACAAAAACACTTGTTTTATCGATATATATATTTGGTTGGCAATTGGAATCGGAATTAAAATCTTTTAGAATCAGAATCAGAATGATTTATTTCTATAATTTGTTTGATTCAAATAAGAATCAAAATCAATTGGAATGGGATCTCATTTCTAAGAGAGAAGAGGGAATGTCATTCCATCAGAAATGGAGAGCAAAATGAATCCCATAGAAATCAGACAGAAAAAGACAAAAATAAAAAGAATCCATTCTTTTGCATTATACATTTGGGAATTCATTCGAACTCCCTCTTGTTTTCTCCTCCCAGCCATATCACTGTACAACCAACGTTGGGTGGCGTAGAATCCACCGGTAGCAAAAAAACAAGTGGCAATACTCATTACATTACCATTCACGGAAGTGCCTCCTCCAATGGATTCCAACACAAAGTCTTGGTCGACAATCCCGAATTCCCCAACATTGCCTTCAAACTCGGAAGAACACCCACCCTGCAATAAATGTTTGAAACCAGAAGATGGGTCGTCAATATCACCCATGATCCATCGGAGAAGGGATTGTTCTTGGCTGGGCGAAGCTGCAGATTTCAACAACATATTCTCCCAGTCTTCCATTCCAAGTCCACAATTTTCCACTCCATTGATGCTGCAGTTAACATTCTCTAGTGCAGTTAGAATAGATTGAAGCTCCGAGGCCTATTCATCCTTTCAGGAATCACCACCACTCCAATGCAACTGTTGGGTTCAGTTATTGCAGCCCAGTTGTCCTCTTGCTATTATTACGTAGGTGGCCATTTCTGTGAAGGATTACTGAAAACCGCCGCACTGTGTCAGTTGACTCACCATTTTTGCTGAAATAGATGTGTTGTAAAATAATAGAAAAAACAGAATGGAATTTATCGGTAATTGCTTTCTAAATCGGAATTTGCAGGAATTTGTTGCAGAATTTTGAAACTGGGAATTGTAGAAAGATAAGGAGGATTGAGTCATGGACTTGGTCATTGTCCTTAAAATCGCATTTGCCCCCTATAGTGTAGTCGGGTGATCGCAAATCGATCGCCAAGATAAAACAGCCCACAAGCCACTGGTAGGCATGCCCTCGTTTACCAGACCTCCGTGAACCATAAAAGATGATACTCATATTTCACAGAGAAGATAGAGAAGAAGACTATCGAAAATTGATGTATAAAGACTGGGTCAGCCAACACTCCTCTTATAGAGTGTACTCAGACCCGAATAGACACAGAGGTGTCCGTTCAGACAGGAGCCTCTTCAAAACAGTGCACCTGTTCGAAGAGGCATAGAGAGGAATTTAAAAAATAAATTCGAATTTGAAGAGACACGTTTTAAATTGAAAAGCTTTAATTCGGTAAAAACGAAACACCGATTCGGTGCATCGCATGCACATGCACCCGCACCTGCACCTCGCCCGGCCTGGGCCAACGCGTGTGAAGAGGAAAAGACAAAAACTATAGAAAGACCGACACACCCATCCCCGTTAAACTCCTTGACCAAACGTTTTCTACTGAAAACAAAAAACTTCTTAATAGTTAATACTTATAGAGTGACTTGAACTTGGATCAATTAATGATAGCACCAAATCTCTTAACACTATTTTAAGCCACTAAGCCATTTCCCCATTTATGTAATTTAATGAAATAAAATAGATTTTATTAATTTTTGTATTCATCAAAACAATATATATATATATATATATATATATATATATATATATATATAAACAATTCTAACTAAAAATTAAAAGAAATAATATTTAAAATTAGCATTCTATAACTAAATAAAATAAACAATCTATCAAATCCAAATTTACATCAAATAATGATTTTAATCCCAAGAAATTTATACAAACAAAATATTAATAATAGAATAATTATCTTAGTACTTAAAATTTATAAATTTGTACATGATATATAATAT